ACGGCTGCTTAGTAGTGGGGCCCTGGAGCCATGCACCCCTCCACTCTCCACCAAGCCCTTTGTGAGCCCAGGCAAGGCCCAAGAGCCAGCTCTACAGTCAAGGGGCAAGGAGAATCAGGTACCTGGGGGCTCAGGCCCAGGCCCACCCAGTTCCTCAGAGCTACCTGGCATGGGGCAGCTGCTGAGGGAGCTGCAGTGCCAGCTGATTCTGCCACAGGCCTTCCCCAGGAGAAACCTGGTACAAGAGGCCAGGGATGCCATCCTGGGCACCTTACAGTCCTGCCATGGCTGTGTGCCTAACCTTGCCCTGGTGCTCCGGGGCTGCCAGCCACCCTTGCCAGGTGAGCCCATCTCCTGTCCCTGCACTCCCGTTTCCCTTGTCTCCATTAACTCAGCTGTCCCCTATGCTTCTTTCCTCTGTGCCAGGGGCCAAGCCTGGGGGCCCTGAGAGGCGAAGGATGACACCCTCCTGGATCAACAGTCCTGAGCAGGCCCTAGGGGAGAGGAGGCAGAGGAGGCCACAAGGGACAAAGGAGCTCACCTTCACCATGCCCCACACCTCCAGCATGCCCACTGCGCACAGGGTGAGCCTGGCACCACCAAGAGGTCCCTGGCCACCCCCCTTGCCCTCATTGCCTTCACCATCAGGGGTGGCCTGGGGCCCCCCAACAGCCTTTGACCTGCTGAAAAGCATCTGGCTAGTAGCCACACCACCCAATCCCCGGCCCTGGGGGGTCAGCCCATCTCAGCCCCTGCCTCAGCCACCATCACCCTTGTTGCCCCGAACCTCTGCCCTGGACTGGAGCCCCAGCCCCCCTGCTCCACTTCCCAGCCTCTCCTGGGTGGTGGCCCAGAGCAGTCCAGAAGCCTGGTCCTTTCCACCCATGAGACTGTACTGAGGGGGCTGAGGCTAGGGCTGGGGGCAGGTATCCCGCACTCCCAGTCACCTCAATAAAGTACCTTCTTCCTGGTCCTCTTGATTTTCAGTGAGTCACTGACCCGGGATAGCAGCTTTCCTTAGTTCTGAGTTCTATGTCCAAAATGGAGGGAAAGGCACTACCACTTGTCACTTTCCTAGGGCCTGAGGGGCCAACAAGATGGGGGAACTTGGGGCTTCAGTTAGTCCAGCACATACACTACTGGCAATGCTGGGGTCCCAGAGTGAGTGAGACCAAGGCCACAGCCCTGTCCTTAGGGGACTCTCAGCTCCAGTGGTTGTGTCTAGGAGAGCAAGAGAGGTGCAGGGGCTGGGGGAGTCCAAAGAGGGAGTGATGAATCTGTCCCAGTGATGAGGAAAGTCTTCATAGAGGAGCTCACACAGACCCTGCATTTTTCAGGATTGGTGGAAACTTGCTATTTGAAGAGGAAAAGAACATTTCAGGCCAGGGGAACAGCATGTGCAAGGCCTGGAGGAGGGAAAATAGTGGATGTGGGACCATTTTCCCTCAGCAAATCCCTAGGCTGCGCTGGGACCTAGAGTGAGTCACATCTGGGCCTGCCCTTTAGGGCAAGTGGCAAGTAGGGGCCAGGCTGGGATTTGAACCCAGGCAACTTATTTCAGAGTCATGCTCCGGATGTCTCACACCACCACCTCTCTCACAGCAACCCAGTTTCACACCCTGGTAAGCAGTGACAGGTCAGGGTCAGGCAATGGGGTATGGTGGTTGTGCTGAGGGCTCTGCCGCCTTTATGCTGTGTGACCCAGAACAAGTGGCTTGCCCTCTCTGTGCCTCTGTTGGCACTTCACAGGATGCATTGGATCTAGGATGCTGGCAACTCAGGGCTGGACACAGCAGGAAGTGGCTTTTATGGGGGCGGGGATGGGCAATCAAGGAATAGTTTCGGGACTAAATTGGCGGGAGGCCAGAACAGTGCACCAGTCTAGAGGTTGTGGCAGTACGGAGAAGGTGGTTTGGAGGAGGGCACGGCTTTGGGGAATGGGAGTTCAGTTTAGGACACGGGGAACCAGAGGTATTCACGAGACTCCCAGAGGGGAGGACTGGGGCGGGGTGACAGAAGATGAACATCTATCTCCTCCCATTTGTAGAGGGTAGAAGCCTGGGTGGGCCATCCTGGAGGAGGGGGTGGGGAGCGCGGCGCCCGGCGGCCCCTTTAATCGGGGGCGCGCACTGGCCGGCCCGCGCGCTCTCGCCTCCGTCGCGGGGCCGGAGCGGGAGCCGGAGCGGAGCCCGGGCCGAGGCGGGCGGAATGGAGCCCCCGCGCGCGCCCGCGTTGCGCCGCCTGCTCCCGCCGCTGCTGCTCCTGCTGCTGCCACTGCCCCCCCGCGCCCGGGCCAAGTACGTGCGGGGCAACCTCAGCTCCAAGGAGGTGAGCACGCCGAGCCCTCCCCAGCTGCCCGCCGGCCCAGGGGGGACGCCGGGGAGGGGAGGGAGACGGTGCCGCCCCGCCCCCTGCCGCCCCTCCCGGCGGACCCAGGGAGCCGCGGGGGG